ATTAAATATAGCTCAGTATTGTTATGTAATCTGAATTTTCTAGAAAACCTTTCCACGACTATAAATACAACCAACGCGACGCGGAAAAGAGTATCTATTAGTAGTTCGCTATAATCAGTTTGCTATAAACTTCGAAAGCTATAACTGTGATTGTTATAACACTTATCATTCGGAAAAATTCAGATATTTAACCAGGAACCTTTACAAAGTTCGAACATTACAAATTATTTAACTTCAGTGGATTCTCATCGGACATTAGTATTTTTACGAAAACAATGCCTAACTTCAACGGTGGAAACTAGCGTGTGAGGCCAAGTACAAAGCTAGCTAGCTTCCCGGCAAATCGTACTTAATCAACTCGTAATTAACCCGCTCATCATAAACCCTCGATAAGAGATATCAAGGGAGTTCCAAACTAGAAAGAAGATTTTATATTGTTTGTAAGTTTGTGAAACTTTTGTTTATAAATCTTTGTTTGTAATAATTGTTACTGTAAATTGTGTTGTTGTGTGTATATTAAAACATATTTGTGTTAAAAACGAAGACGGTGTGTATCAATCTTGTTGGCAAATATAATAAATTGACTATATATCGGCATATATTTAAATACTAAATCCAAAGTGCAATTTAACTACTAAATTTAAATCATCAGTTAACTCAATTTTGGACTATTCGAAATTCTAATACGTAATAACAATATCAGTAACTTATGGGTTTAGTGTAGCTAGACAAGCGACTACACGTTGGTAACTTATGGGTTTACTATAGCTAGACAATCAACTACATATTAGTAACTCGTGAGTTTAGTGTAACTTGACAATCGACTACATATTTCTAACTTATGTGTTTAGTGTAGGTAGATAGTAGACTACATGTTGGTAACTTATGGGTTTACTATAGCTAGACAATCGACAACATGATAGTGCCTCATGGGTTTAGTGTAGCTAGACAGTCGACTACATGTTAGTAATTTGTGGGTTTAGTGTAGCTAGGCAGTCCACTAGATATTGAAACCTTCTGGGTTTAGTGTAGCTGGACAATCGACTACATATTATTACCTTATAGGTTTAGTGTAGCCAGAAAGTCGACTAATTGTTAGTAACTTAGGGATATTTTGTAGCTAGACAATCGACTACGTGTTACTAACTTATGGATTTAGTGTAGCTACACAGTTGAACAGATGTTGGTAACTTATGGGTTTATTATAGCAAGACAATCAACTACATGCTAGTACCTCATGGGTTTAGTGTAGCTAGACAATCACGTATATGTTGGTAAGATATGGGTTTAGTGTAGCTAGACAGTTTACCACATGTGAGTGACCTAATGGTTTAGTGTAGCTAGTCATTTGACTGCACGTTAGTGGCTTAGGGTGTAGTGTAGATATATAGTTGACTACATGTTAGTAACTTATGGGTTTAGCGTTGATAGATAATCGACTAGATATTAGTATCTTATGGGTTTAGTTCATGCTTGTAACTTACGGTTTAGAGTAACTAGATAATCGACTACGTGTTAGTAACTCATGGGTTTAATGTATCTAGAAGATGATTACATGTTAGTAACTTATAGGTCAGTGTAGCTAGACATTTCGCGACACGTTAAAGACTTGTGGGTTTGTTGTAGATAAACAATTCACATCCTGTTAGTATCTTATGAGTTTAGTGTAGATATATAGTTGACTACACGTTAGTAACTTATGGGTTTAGTGTAGATATGCAGTTGACTACACGTTAGTAAGTTATGGGTTTAGTGGAGATATATAGTTGACTTCATACTAGTAACTTATGTGTTTTGTGAGGCTAGACAATGGACTACGTATTAGTAACTTATATGTTTAGTGTAGCTGCGTAATTGACTACATGTTAGTAAGTTATTGGTTTGGTGTAGATAGACAATGGACTACATACTACTAACTTATGTGTCTAGTGTAGCTACATAATTGACTACATGAAAGTAACTAATGGGTTTAGTTTAGATACACAGTTGACTAGATGTTAGTAACTTATGGGTTAATTGTAGACAGACAGTTGACTACATGCTAATAAGCTATGGGTTTAGTCTAGGTAGACAGTTGATTGCATGTTACTAAATTATGGGTTTAATGTGGATAGACAATTCATTACATGTTAGTAACTTATCTGTTTAATGTAGCTAGACCATCAACTAGTCATGAGTAACTTATGGGTTTAGCGTTGCTAGACCGTTGATTATACATTAGTAACTTACGAGTTTAGTTTATGTAGACTAATGTCTGAACTATACAATACCAAGATGTTTTTTGACGTTTTGAGAAATGACTGAAAAGGTACTATCAATGCGATTGTTAGAAGTTAGAATTAAAATATTTACTATCGGATTTTTTGTGTCACATTTGTGTATTGGATTAAAAGGGAAAAAAAGAGTTACTTGAATGAAATGATGGCATTCGTATTAGAGGAACTAAGAGATAAAACTCAATTATTTACATCAAATACAATTTTTATTCGTTCTTTTCGTAAAAGAAAAAATATGGTTGATAGAGAGAAAAGTTTTTGTTGTTAATGGATTCAAAGTCCTAAGATCCACTTGAAATAGTATAAAACCTTGGACGGTAATTCAGTAAACACCTATTAATAAAAATAAACATTTTGCCTTCTTGCTTTTTCAGGTTTATTCTACGTTGAATCATCATTGTATTTCAGTGGTTCTCATGATGTGAATGATATCCAGAGCAAACTACTTCGTCCAATAAATCTGATCGACCACAATACTTGGCTGACTAGTACTAATATCTCATCTTACCCTAATAATAACCTTTTCGGGTGACTCCAATAGTTGGCTGACTAGTAATAATATTCGTTTTAACCCCTACCAACCTTGCCGGGTAACACCAATATTTTGCTGACTAGTACTAATATCTCATCTTAATCCAATACTAACCTCTAGGGTGATCCCATTACTTGGCTGACTAGTACTAATATATCTCATCTTAACTCAATACTAACCTTCTCTGTTGACCCCAATACTTGGGTGCTAGGACTGATATATCATGTTATTCCACTACTAGCCTCTCGGGTGGCTCCAGTACTTGGCTGACTAGTACTAATATCTCATCTTAACCCACTACCATCCTTTTCGGGTAACCCCAGTACTGATGGCTTGACTGACTCTACAATAACCTCGTGACATGCCCTTGCATTAGCGTTTCGTGTCATCAAAATAATAACTCCTGGTATCATCACATTATTTACTTCACAGCTGGCCACACTCAAACTTATTTATTGACCAGAGCATTTACGCCTTTGTTTTGACCTCTATCATACGCAGATAAAAAAAAACATTTGAACAATCAGGAGCAGATTGTTTCACCGGAAATCGGATAATTCTTTGGTAAGCCGGTGCGTTTGACACAAATCTTAGAAATTGATTTGAAATGCTAATTGTTTAGCCATTACGTAGCATGCGATATTGACTAAGCTTGTTTTTTAAATGTGAGTTCGCCCCTGTTTACAACTAATCTTAAAATATTACTTGTTTGAAATTTGCCACAATCGAAGTCGCTACAACCAAGACCTGAGATAATCTATGTAAATATTAGAACCTATATGTTGGCTATTGGCCTGATTTGCCACAATCGAAGTCGCTACAACCAAGGCCTGAGATAATCTATGTAAATATTAGAACCTATATGTTGGCTATTGGCCTGATTTCGTAGGTAAACTTCATAACCTGACTAAATAGCTGCTAAATGGATGAGGGGGAGGCATCTGCACTTTTAGCACTTAAATATATATTTCAATGATATGATTATATTCTTCGAAACGATAGGATGCAATCCAACAAGGCTGTCAAGATCACCCAATAATGTGATACGTTACCACTCTGCTGGTTACTGTGAACACTGTTTAATAATTAACGACTTAATTTTTTCTAAAATGCCACACACCCCACAGTAAAGTTCGGCACCCGTGCTTGTGCTTGACTACTATGATTTTTGACAGGAATTTCACTTGGACTATTATATTATGATAACTATAGCTGTCTACATCACTGTGGCTGCTCTCATTGATCACCACATTTTTACTTTACAGGATCTTCCTGTGAGGGTACACCGCTAGGACTCCCTAATTTTACTACTGTTAACAATTGGTCCAGTAAATATATCCTGGCTGTTTCGATTAACTTCACTACTGCTAACAATTGGTCCAGTAAAGATATCCTGACTGTTTCGATTAACTTCACTACTGCTAACAATTGGTCCAGTAAAGATTTCCTGGCTGTTCTGGTTAACTTTACTACTGTTAACAACTGGTCCAGTAAAAATATCCTGTTTATTTTGGTAAATTTCACTGCTGTTATCATTTGGTCTAGTAAAGATATCCTGGCTGTTTCGATTAACTTCACCACTGTGATCATTTGGTCCATTAGAGATATCCTGGCTGTTTAGATTAACTTCAGTACTGTTATAATTTGGTCCAATAAAGATATTCTGGCTGTTCTGGTTAATTTCACTACTGTTAACAACTGGTCCAGTGAAGATATCCTGGCTATTTTGGTAAATTTCACTGCTGTTATCATTTGGTCCAGTAAAGATATCCTGGATATTCTGGTTAGCTTCACCACTGTGATTATTTGGTCCAGTAAAGATATCTTGGCTGTTCTGGTTAATTTCACGACTGTGATCATTTGGTCCAGTAAATATATCCTGGCTGTTTTGATGAACTTCACATCTGTGATCATTTGGTCCAGTTAAGATATCGCAAATGTTCTGGTTTACTTCACCACTGTTATCGTCACTATTTTGTCTTCCAGGGTAGTTGATCATCTCTAGTCGAGTTATCCGACGCTTCATTTTCAGTTGAGAAGCTGAGTATTCAGCTAGAAGACGAGCAAATCGAGTTTGGATATTGTCCAATCCTTGCTCAAAGTCTGTGCACTGTTGTTGAACCTTTTTCATTTGTTGATTAGTTGTTCTCAGTTGTTCCTGATCCAAGAGTCCATCTTTCAAGAGAATCTGCCTACCACGTTCAATTAGCAGCTTTTTGGCCTCCGGGTATTCTTCCAGCACGCTCCAGAGGTCCTCCTTCGATAGACAGAACAGATCTGAGTAGCCGACACTGCGGACATTGGCCGTCCTCCTATTTCCTGTCTTCATACCAGATATGTTTAAAATACTCAGTTCACCAAACACACTTCCGTCACTAAGTGTGGCAAACACAGTCTTTCCGTCGTCACCAACTACACTTAACCTACCTCGCTTTACAATGTACATTTCTTTACCCACGTCTCCTTTGCGACATATATAGTCTCCTGGACTGAACACCTGCAACCGAAGTTTCAAGACTAGCTGAACAAGAAGTCCCGGTTCACAGTCCTGAAACAGTTTTACCTGCTTTAAAGTGGCAAGATGAACGTTTATGGCAATTTCAGCTTTGAGCTTGTCCGGCAGCATGGACGTGATGGCTTCTTCGTCCAGCGACTGTTTGTTGGTCCACAAGTAGTCAAACCATTTGATCACGCGGTTCTCCAGCTCTTTGGAGACTTTTCTGAATTCCATATATTGCTTGATGCTGTCCATTCGGTTCTGGAATTCTGCCCGGGCAGCATTCATATTGGTAATCATACTGCCAACATTGCCGACAATCGTGGCGAAGATAAGAACACCAACCAAGAAATCGATAACGACAAAGAGGTATTCAATGTCTCTTTCCGGAACAGGGACCTCGCCGATGGTTGTCAGCGTCAGCGTGGACCAATAAAAACAGTAGATGTACTGGTGACGAAAAGTGCTGTATTTGGGTTCACTCACGTTTTTGTAAACCCAACTGTCCGACCCGAAACCGATGTAGTAGCTCACGGAGAAATAGATGCAGGCGTTCCAGTGAATTATAACTAATAAGTAGAATATAAGTTTAGCTATTCGGAAGGCATACGGGAAGCTTGTTCGTGTCTCTGTTCTGCCAAAGAACTCCAGCATCCGGTGCCAGCGTAGCAGTCTGTTCACACGAACAATGACTGAACACGGTACACGCTGCTCACAAGAAACTCCCAGAACACAATACATAATATCTGTCGGCAACAGACTGAAAATATCCAGTTTAAAATGCTGGGATCTCATGTAATTGGAGAACAGTCTCTTGGCATCGCGGACGAGAAGACCCTGGTGGAGATAACCTGAAATAGAAAAACTACTTAATTAGTTATATTTCAGTATCGTTGTTTAGCACTTTACTTGAGACCACAAGATAACACATCTAAGAAGATATGGTGTACGATATGAAAATACTAACGTTATGTTGAACAATTTACACAACAATATAAAATGTGAAAACTAGTGTACATGGTATTCAAGCATAAAACAATCTTTACCAAACTTTAGAACTACAGACGTGATACAGAAACATAAATCAATCTTTACTAAACTTTAGAACTAGAGAACGTGGTATTAGAAACATAATGCAATCTTCAGGAAACTTTAGAATTACAGAACTCAGTATAAACATAAATCAATCTTTAACAAACTTTAGAACTACAGAACGTGGTTCACGGTTCTGATATAATCTGTGCAAAAAATGTGACCCAAGATTCTCGTTTTAGAAGCAAACATGACGCTATTAGGTTTACATTCAACTCAGGATGTTCCTTGTGTATCCACAAGCTTTATTTAGTGTGTTTACATTGAACTCAGTATGTACCTTGTGTATCCACAAGCTGTCTTTGGTGTGTTTACTTTCAACTCACGACGTACCTTGTGTATCCACAAGCTTTATGTAGTGTGTTTATATTCAACTCAAAACGTACCTTATGTATCCACAATATTTATGTAGTGTGTTTATATTCAACTCAGAACGTACCTTGTGTATCCATAAGATTTATGTAGTGTGCTTATATTCAACTCAGAACGTATCTTGTGTATCCACAAGCTTTATGTAGTGTGTTTATATTCAACTCAAAACGTACCTTATGTATCCACAATATTTATGTAGTGTGTTTATATTCAACTCAGAACGTACCTTATGTATCCACAATATTTATGTTGTGTGTTTATATTCAACTCAGGACGTACCTTGTGTATCCACAAGCTTTATGTAGTGTGTTTATATTCAACTCAGGACGTACCTTGTGTATCCACAAGCTTTATGTAGTGTGTTTATATTCAACTCAGGACGTACCTTGTGTATCCATAAGCTGTCATTAGTGTGTTTACATTCAACTCAGGACGTACCTTGTGTATCCACAAGCTTTCCTTATTGTATTTTGCGCATGGCCTTTAATTCTTGAGCTCAAACAACAAATTTTAGAGCCCACATAACCATGGTTATAACTTAGACATGTAAATGTGTAGATGACGTAAGAGCGATGTGTTTTTCAGATCCTGTCTTTAAATTTCAAATAATTACACATACGACATATCGGTTTGGGAACAATTCTAAACTTAATGTGTGGAAAATTTTGTTATTCAAAATCACTGTCATCTTTTTCTTCAATTCTATAACATGTTTACCAGTAAAATGTAAAATACAGTAAATTATTTCAACAGGTTTACTGATTTTTGAAATGTACGGAGCTTTTTAATAATTTTTGATAATACTATCAATTAACTGTACAGGAAAATTATTATTTTTTTGTAAGTAACTTTTATATTATGTGTTTCTTCATAGAATCCAGAAAATGAACCAACTATGTTATAGACCAGATGAATTAAATTCTTATTAAATTGAAAAGGTAAAAAACTGTCACTGTGGTATAAAATCTTTGTTTTAGCCCTAAACAATGGAAATATCACTGACTGTGGTACAGAACTTTCATTTCAATCCTAAACAATGGTAATATAAATAGTTGAAAATATAGAAGATAAAGGATTTCAGTCCTCCAAGTCCCTCGTACGAAATTCTAGATCAAGAAAATTTCGGTTATACAAACCACTTAACTGTTTCTAGATTCTAAAATACAACACACTTCTCCCAAACCCCGAGATACAACACACTTCTCTCAAACCCCGAGTTACAACACACTTCTCTCAAACCCCGAGTTACAACACACTTCTCCCATATCCCGAGATACAACACACTTCTCCCATATCCCGAGATACAACACACTTCTCCCAAACCCCGAGATACAACACACTTCTCCCAAACCCCGAGATACAACACACTTCTCTCAAACCCCGAGTTACAACACACTTCTCCCATATCCCGAGATACAACACACTTCTCCTGTCAGTGTTTCCCAACCTATTATGTGTACCAAGACACATAGGAAATAAACTTAAGAAATTTACCGGTCCTGGCTTGAAATACCATGTCCAATACATAAATACCATCACACACATAGTCCAGAAGATACCACAGGACAGGCTGGAGGTTTTGTAGCTTCCAGAAGACGCTGCGACCAATAATAAAGATAGTATTGTAGAGGACGGCTAGGGTGATGACAGCCAGCCAATGATAGTGTAGGTTACATGTTGGATCCATGACAAACGTTCGGGTTTGGTAGCTTCTAAAGAAATCGAAATATCAACATCACTGCTGGATGAAATCTACACAGTAAATACATGATAATAGTAGAATACATTTTTGTTGTACTTAGTCAAATAGTTTCCGATATAAACTAGTTACAAAGTAAAATAAAAACTAATAGCAGAAGAACATAAGTTTATCAACAGACAGTAACACAGTTATACAGAAACAAGAACCCAATGCAATATCTACCACTAGCCAGCAACTTAGTTATACATAAAAATAATCTAACGTGATGTCTATCAACAACCACTAGCAGTTATACAGAAAAATAACCTAACGTGATGTCTACCTCTAGTCAGTAACACAGTTATACAGAAACAATAACCTAACGTGATGTTTACCACAAGCCGGTAACACAGTTATACAGAAACAATAACCTAACGTGATGTTTACCACAAGCCAGTAACACAGTTATATAGAAACAATAATCTATGTATTAAGTATTATTATTACAAGACATGTGAAACATGTAAGTTCTACAGATATGTAAAAAATTTTTGGAACAGCCTAAATAAAACCAGGTTTAATAGAGGTTGTATTTTTATCAGGTATCAAACATCCGCAAGTAAGGAAATCTATAGAAACTTTTCACAAAGGGGAAACATTAAAATGTAGATATTCTGGTTGAAAGTAGTAACAATAATCACCTTTCACAATTGTTTTTACTCTTGTCTTTCTCATGTCCATCAGCTATATCACCTATGGCAAACTTTTGGAGGAAGGAGTCTGGACGTTCCAGTTCCCTCTGGTGTCTCTTCCTCTGGGTCCACTGTCTCACCGCCTGTTTGAAACATTCACCTTCATTCACTAAATCACAAATACAAGTTTATAAGTTCCTACACCAATTAACTTACTCTGGTATAAACTTATAGGTAAGAACAGATAGAGAAATTAAATTCGATAAGCAAAAAATTCGTGAAAAGATATACAAGGAATATCTTCATTAGCAGTCACTAATAGATATGGTGATAGAAATAGAAACTTTTGGAAAGAGTAGATACGTCAGTGTACAGATAAGGCCAGAAAGCTAGTAAATGAAGAATGGTGTTGGATTTAAACTTGACTACTTACCAGAAACAGTACAATCTTTGTAAAGAAGGTGTTGCTAAACTTACCTCAAACTTCTTGACAATCCTTCCAATATTCGTTTCATATTCTTCAGGAAATTGTTCGATTCTAACAATCTCGGAGCAGACACTACTTCGTAAGGATGGTGTTACTAAGACGTCGTTTTTATACATTTCCAACTCATTATTTTCTGCAGGATTGACTTCACTTGATGTTATCAAATCTTGGTGCTGACTGGTGACTGGATGGCATCTGTCGTGTTCATGTTGTCGTTGCTTGCTTGACGAGCACTTTTTACTTGTCATATTAGAAATAAACACAGAGTTTTCAATCTTGGTTAGGAAGTAAACCGTTTTAGTTCAGTGACGTCATCCGGGATTCAGTTACTGGTGTTTTTTATCCTGTCTAAGATGTAAATCAATCAGACACCTAGTGGCTTCCAACGGAACTATCAAAAGTTTTAATCTTTCACTAGTTTATGCTCATTCTGATGTTCTAAGCAGATATTATAGTATGCATATATTGAACTATATACAAGCATATATTGAACTATATGTAAGCATATATTAAAAACAAAGTATCGAATTATCGCAAATAAGAAAACGCTGTTAAGATAACTCTTAAATTTAAAAATAGAAAAGATCTTGGTATATAATTCAAAACATCAATATCATAAATCAAACCTAAAGACCCAAGATCATAAAATATAGTAATGAAATAAAAAATAAGAAATATGTTTCTAAATCCCCTTCGATTTAAATAAAATTAAACAAAACAAACACTGGAAAAAAATACTCAAATGAACAATTACAGATAGAAAGATGAAGAGCATATAAAATTGGATAAATTTACCCAAACATAGAACACAGTGTTTAAAAAACAAAAGGACTTGAAACTTCTTTCAGTATGAGATAAAATATCCATAATGATAGAGAAATCAAGATATTTATTAAATATAACAAAACCTATATACCAATAGTTCACAGTATGTAAAATAAGTATGTAGTCATAAGGACATTAAGGTACTACAAGTAACTGAAACGAGTATGTAGTCATAAGGCCATTAAGGTACCATAAGTAACTGAAACGAGTATGTAGTCATAAGGCCATTAAGGTACCATAAGTAACTAAAACGAGTGTGTAGTCATAAGGACATTAAGGTACCATAAATAACTAAAACGAGTGTGTAGTCATAAGGACATTAAGGTACCAGCAGTAGCTAAAACAATTATGTAGTCATAAAGAAATATAGGTACCACAAGTAACTAAAACGAGTGTGCAGTCATAAGGACATTAAGGTACTACAAGTAACT